TGAAGATTGGATGGATAGTAATTCTTTACAATTTTGATATATTTTGATACCCCTGTGGATGTATTATAAGTACTAGAAAATTTAGCCCCTAAAACACTTCTGCTTTCGAGAAATTAAATAATCAAAAATTTACCATTGCCCCTGCTAAATTTCAAATATTTCAAATAGTGCCTAAGGCCATTCCATGGTAGCTGCGACCATGAAAATCTCAGAATATGCAGTTCTGATATATAATTTCCAAACGGGAATAGCAAATTAGATGATTGTAGTCAAGAAACATTGAGCTAAAGTAATATCAGTCTTGAGAGGGCGCTATACAACATAAATAGTTTATTATTTACAATTTCATCCCTTTAGAATCAATTTCAACCGCGACAACGATCACTGAAGTATTGTAGAATCGTATGCTTCCAATATGTTCATCTGAACCAAATTCATGACCCCATACCAAAACTTTGTATTACCTTTAACCCCAGATGGATCAGAGAATCAAAGATAGCTCTTAAATGATCATTGTCTGCTGAGAGCACGAAGGGTGTTAGCTAAGACGTACTGGTAATGACCTTATTGCTCTGAGCAGACAATCTGAAGGACAAAGACTAAAAAACATAAGATTTCATGTCAAATAATGCAAAGGGTCACAATCGTTAAGAAGTACTGTGTGATCACATTCATCTTCTAGACATACATGTAGATAAATTCCAAAATCACTTTCCGAAACAATGTAGATAATTGACATAGAAAAGGAAATGAAAGGTAGCTTACATGTATTATATAGTCAATTAGTCATGACCATGATCTAAACTACTTTTTAACTAATTTTAAATATTATTCTGCTCTGGGAGAAAATTTAGGCCCAGGGTGTAACTAATGATTACTACCATGCATTTATTGTGTGAGAGAGGAGAAAGAGAGATTGGAAAGATGGGAGAGAATAAAATAGAGGGGGAGATGGGGAACAAGAAAAAGAAAGAAAGAAATAAAAAGAGAGAGAGGGGTAGATGGGGGAAGAAGGCGGAAACAAGAAACTGTGAGAGAATTTTTGTTTATATATATATATATATTTTTATTTTTTTTTGGGGGGGGGGAGGGGTGGGGGAAGATTACCAAAAGTGCACATCACTTTATAACAAATTACTAAAATCCACCCCCACCAACACCCCCAGCCCAAAATAAAAATAGAAAAAGAACAATTATTATCAATTGAAACCATGTATTTTATCAAAATACCTCTGTTTTCAATCATTTCATGAGACAATCCAGTGACAACACTAATTACAATAGTGAGAGGTTCACATGACAGTGTGTTAAATAACATTTTTTAGGGTTGTTGTTTTAAACTTAAAAGTTATTTTGTTGTTAGGGACCGCGTGGACGTACTCCTGGTTATGAAACTTTAAATTAATTGGAAATTGCAAACCACGACAGATTTTAAGGTTGACGCGTTATTAAGCAACAAGGGGTCCTCACTCAAAGTTATGAGCAATGTAGTGTAAACATAATCAACTATGAGATTACACCAGCTTGTAGGTAATATGACTGCTTTTCCTGGCTTGTAGTTCATTTTGAACGCTCATATCAGGAATGTGGGAACTCTCATTGTTGTCAGTGGATAGTTGTTTATAACTTCAAAGTTTTACAAACTTAAAGTTTAAAACTATGACAGATCTGAGTGAACATAGCCTATGTTATTCAATCTTTCTTCTATTGAATTATATGATTCATGACAGGAACAAAGCCACATAATTCACACCAAAAAATCCTTCACAGAACTAATATGTTTTGAGTATATCTTGATTCCTTTCCAAATATAAGGAGTCTTAAACTCTTAATCTTAAAGTTCCGGCAACTGTCATGAACTGAAAAGACTATTAATAAGGGGGATGGAGGAAACTTTTAGAAAAATCAAAATAACTAGTCCTTATGGAGTAGAGAAGACAAACAAACAAAATAAGAAAGAAAAAAGAGCATATGTGCGTGCAAATGACAGACACAGAGACATAGAAATAGATTTGGAGAGACATAACAAGAAAGATAGAGAGATAGAGGGGGAGAGGGGAAAGGAGAAAGACATAGAGTTTGAGAGTTTGAGAGAAGGAAGAAGATAGAAAGACAGATGCCATAGGGCAGAGAGTCAAATGTGTACACAGATTTTGAAGGGATTTAGAGAGAAATTAATATATCATCAAATGTAGAAAAATATTAGTGAATCTTTAGCCCATTCTTTTATCAAAATATTGGGATGTGCACTTGTGACTATTATTGTGTATTTGTTTATTAGAAAAAATAGCCATGTTAGGTGACATAAACAGACAAAAAAATGTTCAGAAATACATGAACATTTGATGTATTCATACTTTTATTACGTTCCCAACTTCACACTTGCTATTCCTCATAACCAATTGGATGCTAACATTTGCTGCATGCCAGGGGGGGGGGGGTAGACTTGATGTGAAACAACTACTCAGAAAGTTTATAATCTGGAAATAAAGCCTGATTAAAAAAAATTATGAATATAGTTTGTGCAGCCAGAAAATGCATGAAGGAGAGAGGAAGGGAAGGGGAGGGGTAGTACGTGCAGAGAGGGAGAGAGAGAAAGAGAGAGAAAGAGAGAGAGGAAAAGGAGAGAAGAGAAAGAGATTGGGAAGATGGGAGAGAATAAAAGAGAGGGGGAGATGGGAGATGGGAGATGGGAGAAAGAAAAAAAAAAGAAAGAAAGAAAGAGATAGAGAGAGGGGGTAGACGGGGAAAGAAGGAGAAAACAAGAAAACTGTGAGAGAATAAAAAAGGCAAAAACTACCTGGGTGGTCAAGCAGAATCTCAAAATGTAGGAGAAAAGAAGACACTGGGAGCACAGGAAAATGAATACAAATTGATCAATTCATCATGAGGTATTAAGAGTATTGTACCAAAAGAGCCTCTGTTGACATCCATTCTTCCTCTTACTTTCAATAGATTCTATAGCTTTCTAATGATGTTCATTTATGGTTTAAATTTGGGTATTTAAGCCCCCGACCATCTCCCCCAGTAATATTTGGCCACCAGAGGTGCATGTAATGTCCAAATGGTTCTCAACAAGCAATTAATCCCTAAAACTGCTTGTTGTGAGCTATTTGGACATTACCTCTATTCAAAACTATGAGTTAATCTCCCTCTGTCTCTCAATACAACAAACATTCATATTCTCAAAGCATATTCATGGCTCAATGAGTTGTAATTCTATTTGAAATTTTGCCCATTGAGGTACAAAATTGAGGTTTTCTAGCTGATGCTTTCTTAAATGGATCTATGGGGGAAAAACAAATTCTTTTATCACACAAGTGATAATCATCTAGAAATCAAAAAATCATGCAGACGTGCCACCCACTGCTGCATTGTATCTGCATCTTTCTCAGACCTATACATCCTACTACGGTATTTAGATAATCTGCCATTCTGCATCTATTCAAAGCCAGGACTCATAAAGAAGCTGCCAAAGGTTTGCCACCCTTTTGCACTCCATGATTTTTTTAACACAGGGATGTTCTCGCTTTTCTCATGAATTATCCTTCTGTTTACTTTTCTTGCTGTGAATCGTGAATGAGTCTGCCAACAATGAAAGTAATGTTACTAAATGATTCTCTTGTCTCTGTGTGGAGCCCCACAGAATACCCCCCCCCCCCCCTATTTTTTGTATATCTTTGACTATGTATGTATGACACAAGTATATTTCTAGCCCCCATATAGTCCCTCCTCTTAGTTAATTAGGTACCCCCTCCTGCGAGAGTGGCCTCACCCACAACCAACCTAAACACACCAGCTGGGATACCTGGAGTGGCTTCTCACTTTGTTTTTGCCACGCATCTCAGTCAACACCTTCTTATTTTGTCTTCCTTTAATAGGTAAGAAAGAATCTTATATTATTCAATTGTGTTATATTCTTGTTGTTCATAATATGTGCATTTCTAAACTATTAGCTTCACTATTCACATATCTTGTATTACTGTGTAAAAAGAGATATTAATGATCTTTGCCAATGACTTGTTGGATTATATGACATGTGGACTATGAGAGGAAATATAAGAAATGCCATGTGGGAAGAGATGCCATGTGGGGAGAGATAATGTCATTGATGAACATAGTAATCACTTGTAGAGATGATAGGAAAGTATTATCGTGTGTGTGAGATTGATGATTATGTTGTTTGATTTAGACAACATTTTAAGTAAGTTTTGAGAAGAGAATATACTTTATTACTGTCAGACAGTCAGTATATTTGTCTTTTGCTCGATATTCATGTGTATATATATATTCTTAGCCAAGGACATGTGCCATTTACTATGCATTATGCCAAAGCACATTGTTATATATTCTAGTTCGAGTTAGATACAGTTTTAGTAGCGAAATGAGTGGTTCAAGTCCAGATTATCTTTAATTTTCAGTATTATGGTATGAGTGAGTGTGGACGCACCATGTGTATAATATTAGTGTGTTATTAGGTTATGGCAGTGCGTGCAATGTGAACACAACTTCTTATCAGAGTTCTTAATCCCCTCTCCCCCCAAGCTTGACCATCCACTGCAATGCATTACACGCACACAGTGTAGATAGAGTATATGCTATACCCAAATGCTATGTTGAGAAGTGTTAGAGATAGAATGTGTTTGTTTTTGACCCATGCTGGAAATGGTATCTTAGGCGGGAATGAAAGTTTGGTAGAGTCAGCAAAATGAGAAGACAAAGGATTTGAGTTGGGGAATACACTTGTTGAGAAACACATGGTCAAATTGTGTAATAGTTAGCTAGTGATGGATGGGTTGATGAAATATTGTAGTTAAAGACTTGCATAATCACTGTCTGGAATTCATTGTATTATATTGTTAGGAATGATAATTCAGGTTAAATGTTATTGGGAATTACTCTCTCTCTCTCTCTATATATATATATATATATATATATCTCCCTCTCTTTCCCCCCCCCCCCCCCCTCTCTCTTTATATTCTCTCCCTCTCTTTCTCTCTCTCTCTCTCTCTCTCTCTCTGTATGGTTCACCCTTTCTCTTTCACTCTCACTTTGCTTTGTATATAACCATGAAATGAATATACATGTATTTAGTAAAACTATTGGTTGTTGTTTAGAATTAGAATATGAACTGTATGTGAAGATGAGATTATACAGTAAGAAGAATTCGTAATATTGGTTGTAAGTTTGTTAGAGCTATTAGTACAGACTGCAGACTAAGACTATTTGCCAGTTCTGTGAATATTGTAAGGAGTTTAGGATATAAGTTGTTGAAGATGTATCTTTTCAAGTTCAGTAATCTCGCTGAAAAAGATAGTATTAGATCAAAGTGATGCAGATGACTATTGGAAAATACATGAGCTATAGTTAAGGAAGAGTTATAAGTTTATTCAGTATTAATGTGAAGTCCTGAGACAAGAAGTAACTTGTGAATTTAGGGATTAGTGAAGACTGAGAGTAGAATTGCATTCTAAGGGTCTATGTGTACAGTGGATCCTCAGTCTTGGAGCGTAAAGAGTAGAAAGCTTATTAGGCAGTATTATAGGGATGATTATGCCAACATTCTTGTATTAGGTCTATATATGTGATTTCTTGAAAGAGACGCTAAGTGAAGAGTTATATGATTAGAAGCTAAAGTAGATTGACTGATACCGCAATGTTATAGACATTTGATAAGGGTTAAGTTATTTATTAGTAGCCAAGTTATGATTATGAGATCGATGAAGAGTTGCACTTTTACATAAAGCATGGAAGTAAGGATAGTTTCGTTTAGAGATAGTAAAGTAATGAAACTAACCAGATGATGTTCCTAGTGATATAGTAAGAGAACACTGAGAGCTAATGAATTCAATGTATGCGAAGTTTGCGAACAGGTAGATTTATTTGTGTTTAATACTTGAAGAGTATTGTTAATGTTATGCCATTTGATCGTATATATGTTATTGTAAGAAAAGACTGTTATTGTAGAAGATTAAGTAATAAAGACTTTGTTTTGCCATTCATCCTAGTCAACATCTATTCTATTTTGTCTTCCTTTCAAAGGTATGCCCCCTCCCTCGGGGTGTGGGCGCTACAAATTTGGCGACCTTGCCAGGACGGCCATCGTCGAAGAGACACGAGGACGATGTGTCGTCCTATGACACGAACAGTTGGATAATCGAAGAAGCAGTGATGTAACGATAAAAAGGACCAGAATAGTCAGAGAGTCGGAGAAGACCATCCCTGATTGGAAATGAGGTTGGCTCAGCATCAGAGAGAATGGGACAAGCTGCAGAGAGGAGAAAAGGCTACTACGAGCGTGCAGTATGCAGCAGGGTGCTACAGCAAGGAGATATGGTTCTGGTGCGAAGTCTGGCCCCTCCAGGTGGCCAAGGGAAGCTTCACCCTTACTGGGAGGAAATAGATGGCGGAGCAGTGAGTGGAGTCAAGGATGTCCAGGGGTACTCCAAGCCGCCATCCTCAACAGCCCAGCCCCCAGCACCGTTCCAGTACCGGTATGACCCACCATCCTACACCCATCAAAGGCCATTACAGATACAGACGCCAGTAGCCCACCAGCAACCAACCCACTACCAGCGTCAGATGACAGAAGACCAGCTAAATTTTTCCAGCGAGCGAGTCAATCATTCGACCCGCGAGGAAGGCCTCAAACGGATTCTTTTTTGTTTTTAATATTTTGTTTTACATTAGATGCATCGTTATTTAGAATCATGTGCTAGCTGTTTAGTAAACCAGAAATACGAGTAATGAGAAGTAGTAAGATGAAACAAGTTGTAAATCGTTTCATGAATTGTGGTGTAATATAAGGAAACAAGCGATGACACTCGATAGTGATCAATTGATCTTTGTGATAAAGTCTTCGGGATGAGTCGCGAGCTTCCCAAGAAACCTTCACCGTATGTCAGGCGCGCCCGTAGAATGGGTTAATGTTTCGCAAAGTTTATTTGTATGGAAGAAAAAGCCACGTAATTCTGATACGATATTATGATATGTAATTCTGAAGCTTCAAGTACCTATTAGGTTTCGCTATAACAAGTTGCAACAAGTGTATATATGAACTCGATGTACTACATGTATTTCGCAGAAGAATTGGAGCACGATGATCTGTCAGCGTTGCAAGGACATAGACTCTCATGGACTTTGGTGATAAGTCTCACCCCCCTGATCTGTCCTAAGTTCATGACGACATTGAACAAGAACTATATGAACGTTAAAAATGTTATACTATAATCATGAATTATTGATGTAAATGTTTGAAAGTTGAAATGTCCAGGAGACATTTATTTTTGGAGGGGAAGGTGTGGAGCCCCACAGAATACCCCCCCCCCCCCCTATTTTTTGTATATCTTTGACTATGTATGTATGACACAAGTATATTTCTAGCCCCCATATAGTCCCTCCTCTTAGTTAATTAGGTACCCCCTCCTGCGAGAGTGGCCTCACCCACAACCAACCTAAACACACCAGCTGGGATACCTGGAGTGGCTTCTCACTTTGTTTTTGCCACGCATCTCAGTCAACACCTTCTTATTTTGTCTTCCTTTAATAGGTAAGAAAGAATCTTATATTATTCAATTGTGTTATATTCTTGTTGTTCATAATATGTGCATTTCTAAACTATTAGCTTCACTATTCACATATCTTGTATTACTGTGTAAAAAGAGATATTAATGATCTTTGCCAATGACTTGTTGGATTATATGACATGTGGACTATGAGAGGAAATATAAGAAATGCCATGTGGGAAGAGATGCCATGTGGGGAGAGATAATGTCATTGATGAACATAGTAATCACTTGTAGAGATGATAGGAAAGTATTATCGTGTGTGTGAGATTGATGATTATGTTGTTTGATTTAGACAACATTTTAAGTAAGTTTTGAGAAGAGAATATACTTTATTACTGTCAGACAGTCAGTATATTTGTCTTTTGCTCGATATTCATGTGTATATATATATTCTTAGCCAAGGACATGTGCCATTTACTATGCATTATGCCAAAGCACATTGTTATATATTCTAGTTCGAGTTAGATACAGTTTTAGTAGCGAAATGAGTGGTTCAAGTCCAGATTATCTTTAATTTTCAGTATTATGGTATGAGTGAGTGTGGACGCACCATGTGTATAATATTAGTGTGTTATTAGGTTATGGCAGTGCGTGCAATGTGAACACAACTTCTTATCAGAGTTCTTAATCCCCTCTCCCCCCAAGCTTGACCATCCACTGCAATGCATTACACGCACACAGTGTAGATAGAGTATATGCTATACCCAAATGCTATGTTGAGAAGTGTTAGAGATAGAATGTGTTTGTTTTTGACCCATGCTGGAAATGGTATCTTAGGCGGGAATGAAAGTTTGGTAGAGTCAGCAAAATGAGAAGACAAAGGATTTGAGTTGGGGAATACACTTGTTGAGAAACACATGGTCAAATTGTGTAATAGTTAGCTAGTGATGGATGGGTTGATGAAATATTGTAGTTAAAGACTTGCATAATCACTGTCTGGAATTCATTGTATTATATTGTTAGGAATGATAATTCAGGTTAAATGTTATTGGGAATTACTCTCTCTCTCTCTCTCTATATATATATATATATATATATCTCCCTCTCTTTCCCCCCCCCCCCCTCTCTCTTTATATTCTCTCCCTCTCTTTCTCTCTCTCTCTCTCTCTCTCTCTCTGTATGGTTCACCCTTTCTCTTTCACTCTCACTTTGCTTTGTATATAACCATGAAATGAATATACATGTATTTAGTAAAACTATTGGTTGTTGTTTAGAATTAGAATATGAACTGTATGTGAAGATGAGATTATACAGTAAGAAGAATTCGTAATATTGGTTGTAAGTTTGTTAGAGCTATTAGTACAGACTGCAGACTAAGACTATTTGCCAGTTCTGTGAATATTGTAAGGAGTTTAGGATATAAGTTGTTGAAGATGTATCTTTTCAAGTTCAGTAATCTCGCTGAAAAAGATAGTATTAGATCAAAGTGATGCAGATGACTATTGGAAAATACATGAGCTATAGTTAAGGAAGAGTTATAAGTTTATTCAGTATTAATGTGAAGTCCTGAGACAAGAAGTAACTTGTGAATTTAGGGATTAGTGAAGACTGAGAGTAGAATTGCATTCTAAGGGTCTATGTGTACAGTGGATCCTCAGTCTTGGAGCGTAAAGAGTAGAAAGCTTATTAGGCAGTATTATAGGGATGATTATGCCAACATTCTTGTATTAGGTCTATATATGTGATTTCTTGAAAGAGACGCTAAGTGAAGAGTTATATGATTAGAAGCTAAAGTAGATTGACTGATACCGCAATGTTATAGACATTTGATAAGGGTTAAGTTATTTATTAGTAGCCAAGTTATGATTATGAGATCGATGAAGAGTTGCACTTTTACATAAAGCATGGAAGTAAGGATAGTTTCGTTTAGAGATAGTAAAGTAATGAAACTAACCAGATGATGTTCCTAGTGATATAGTAAGAGAACACTGAGAGCTAATGAATTCAATGTATGCGAAGTTTGCGAACAGGTAGATTTATTTGTGTTTAATACTTGAAGAGTATTGTTAATGTTATGCCATTTGATCGTATATATGTTATTGTAAGAAAAGACTGTTATTGTAGAAGATTAAGTAATAAAGACTTTGTTTTGCCATTCATCCTAGTCAACATCTATTCTATTTTGTCTTCCTTTCAAAGGTATGCCCCCTCCCTCGGGGTGTGGGCGCTACATCTGTTTAGCTTTGTCTATCTTTGTTCCATAAAGCTGTGAGGCATGTTCGCCGGAAGGCACATTTGACGTGTTCATCACAATTCAATTTGATCCTCAATGGTCTTTTGTGCAAGCGTTTGGTTTCTCTGTAAATATTGGAACTGGAAACAAAAAGGTTGAATAATTTCTTAGCCCCAATAGGTGTCATTTGAATTCTCCACAACCATCTATGTCACATTAAGAGTACCGGCAATGGAAGTATGTGGTTGGAGAGCTCAACCCATGAAATTTCATAGGCCGTTTTATACAATCATGCCACCAGAGTTTTTTTCACTCTGTTGTGCTATCTTTGAACAAAACTCTGTCTTTCTTCTTTATGTGCAAACACACTCACAAAAGAAACGTGAATCTTGAAATCCTGGAATAATCCATGATTAACAGAATCATATTTCTTTGTCAACATGGTGGCATGCACATGAAAGTCATGAAGGTTAAACATACACAAGACATTCGTGGCTCCCTGAAAGAGGCAAAGATCATCTAGTTACACCTCACTGCATCAGAGACATGGCTAGAGGCAGGGGATAACCCAAACTCAAAATTAATGTCAGGAAGTAAACTATTATAGATCTGCATATTACAAACTCTAACTTAAAAAGTGGTTTCTATCCTCAATTAAAAAAAAACACTGATCAATTTTATTGGTATACAGAAATTAAGCCTTTTTAAAATCTCGTCAGCAAACACTCCTTCCTTCAAAATTGTGAAGACATGAAGTTGCTAATCGTCGGCTGAGAGCCAGAAGGAAGTTAACTCATATACTTTAACACAGAGCTATATGCCCTTCCGGCTCCAAATAGAGGAACTCCACATAGGACAGTCCATTTCAAATATTACTTTTTGATGAGCAAACTCATCTATGAGTATTGATAAGCAGTTAGAGTCAATAGCATACAGTTCGTTTACACCTCAAATATTCATATGTGGGTTTATTCTTTCTAAATCTAACCTCAATGTTGATTCCATGTAAGTAATACAAGGAAGGTGTGTTTCATGGGGAGCAATGGGAAAGGATGACCAAAACCACGCTACCACACTGCCACTACCACAAACATCATGATATTCACACTATATATATACACACACACTTTCCCACCCACACAACGACTCATACACACACACACACACAAACACAATGACACACAGACGAAAGGGCTGTTCACATGAATAGCAAAGTAACTAAAATTCTGAATATCTTTATATTTCACATCGGAATCAGGTGTATAAAACGACAACAAAATCTCACTTATCGCTAAGATTCTGGTTGCTATTAAAACCTCACTAATATAGTGTTGGTTTTAAATTGCGGGAGTGTTTAATAGATGAGTGCTTTTGTCAAGCTTCGGAATGGAAGTTATAAAAAAAGGTAAAAATGAAATTTTACATATCCCACGTGTGACCAAAACAGTTAGATTTGAACTGCAATTCTAAACTTGTTTGTTCAAGAGTGTGAAAAGACGCAAGGTCCTGTTTCAGGGGGGGGGGGCCTAAATCCAGTAGAATATTCTTGCTGGAAATTCTGTGCATTCTCCTGAAAAGTAACAGTCAGTGGTGTACAGCCAACAATAGTAGAAAAGGGAGAGTGCTAAAATCATCATGGAAAACGAAGTTTTTTCATATTTTGTTTCCATTCAAATAATAAGGAAACATAATGATAGAAACTATGCAAATATGTAAAATATAAAAGAGGATTCCTATAGCATAGATTTGTTAGCATGCATATATAACTAGAACACTGTGAAAGTGTGAACTGGTTTCCTCCAGAAAGATGTTACCGGTATGTGAATAACTCCAAACTAAATATTAACACACTTTAGTTGAACAGATGACCTGTTTTTCCCCAGTCAATCCCAAAGAGGTAAAAAAGTGAGTAATATTGAGTACGCGCCTTACCTGACCATAACCAACCCTCTTGAGGAATTCATCACAGGCTTGTGGCTTTCTTTCTGTGAATCATGCCTTAATCCAATATTATATCATTTTGCCGCTCTTTTCATCTTCACCACTTAATATAATGCGACCTTTTTATCTTGGTATGACACAGGATGTATGTGGAGTGATTTCAAAGCATGTGATTCCCTGATGAAAGTTGATTCATTTTAATCTACCATAAGATGACTTTCAATGACTTTTACAACTGCCATTGAACTTTTCACCTCCATAAAAAACTTGCTATTATGACTGATTTTAATTCTAGATGCAAACACACAGAAGAGACACTGACTGAAGTTAGCGACTAATGCCAGTCATCATCAGAAATCCTTTGAAAAGCTCCTATACATGGTACACACAAACAAGATACACAATATATATAGACATGCATATATTTGTTTAAAAGACATATGTTACGCCAGAGTGGAATGAGACATTACTTATAATTTAGAGCCAGAAGGGCATTAACTCACACACATTAACACTAGGTAAGCACCCTTCTCGCTCTGAACAGATAATATGCATCAAAGCAAGAATGATTTTGATGATAGCAGGTCAGTTAATTATGGGATGATTTGAAAGAGGACATATCCTCTGCCAGCTGCTGAGAGCCAAAGGTAAAACAATGTTTTACATAAAGTTAACGCCCTTTCTGGATCTCTACTTAAAAAATAATGGCCTAATGATGCCTGTCATGATTGCCAAAGCGTGTGGCAGGGGGGGGGGGGCAGATTATTCAAAGGGGGTAAAGGAGGTGTGAATAATAACCATGAAGATGCAAAAGACATATCTCCATGTTGCAACTGAGGTGAGAAACAGATGAAAAGCAAAGGATCGCAAGGATCCTTGACCTGTAACAACTGGCCAGATACTTGATTAATCATTCTATACTGCTTTGATATCATAACAGGAGCATGCTCTATCAAAGTGGATACAGGTAAAAGCACATGTTCTAGAATTTAGATCAAAGTGATTTGCTATCAGACATGACACCACATTGTGTGTGCACTAAATTGTCTCACAGTCACAATAAACAATATCCTGTGATTCAATTAACCTGACCCCCTGTAGTCTGACTTGGAGAGTGTTTCACAAAGACTAAAGATCGAAAAAATGAAAAATGTCAATGTAGTAGATTTGTGACATCCCTTGAGAGACCAATAGTGAGAGCAACCAGTGGCATGAATGGCCTAGCTGCCATAGTACAAGTCCAACATAAGTCGATCTTAGTCTTTGTGCAACACCCCCAGGACTCTTCGATTTATATGACACATTTAATAATTTACAAAGAAGAAACCTATTGATGACACGAACAAACGATAAGTTGGATTGAGAAGAGAAAAGCCATATCAGCACTCAAGATATGGGGCAACAGTGATATTACACCAAGTGCTAGAGACACAGCCATTCCAGCAGGACATTTCAGTTCTCCCTTCCCTCTTCTAATTGTATATGCAGGGTAGGAGGGGCCACTTTGGAATGTGACGATACCATTGGGTCCACTTTTGAATCCTTGCTTGATTCTGAAGAGGGGCAGAGGTAGAGCAGCAGTCTTGTAACCATCAGGTCCTGGGTCCACAACATAGACAATATGTTTACTGAAGTGCACTGAAGTATACAGGCATTCATCGTCACTAACCAAATCTGTGGGATAGGACTTGAAGCCATATGTTGGACTATGTCCACTGGTTTGTTTCTCTGTTAGTCCCTACCGGTACTTGC